TGGTTATCTCAAATGATACATCGACTTATCGTGGATTGGCTTCTATTGAATGCTATACTGTCAACTCGGAATCTTTATGTCTAAGCCCTGTTACTCTCGTGACAGATATATCTGGTGCGTGTCCACTTCCAATGAGGTCTCTACGAGGTGTCTCGCACTAAGGTGATTTATATAACGTCCTCTACCAGACCCCTAACACGCTCTCTTCTAGAACGTACTAGGAATCTGCTAGATCGGCTACAACTCTAAAGGTATTAGAGTTGCTGGCTCTAATTCGTGACTCTCTCGCTGTCGTGGTTCTAGTGATGTGTATGCGTGCATCTATCTATATCGTCATATTTCTAGCACCTAACGTTCTAGTATTATATAGATTATTGGTATATCTATAGAGCAGTGTCTGGTAGTTTCTATCTCTATTCGATGATTATCAACATGCGCTGTCTAATTGTGCCGGTGAAGTCGATATTGTATCTTGCGCCACCTTGCGCCGCGATGATCTATTTTAGCTATAAGATAGTTCATTGTCCATTCTAGAGTTGAGAACTATTGTAGTTTGCGATCTATTCCAGTACGCTTTCTACTTCCTTGTACGTTCATAGATTTCTAGTTGTCTCACCTCTATGATCAGCGAGTTCTATCACCAATGATTACTATGAGGAGGATAAGCACTCTATCTTGGATTAAGTGGCCTAGACGATTATTGGCCGTGGTCTATCTATTAGGTGGTATAAGGAGATGCTCTAGTAGTTAGTATCTACGATTGCATCCGCTATGACGATATCTACATTGGTATCACTATCGATGTCCCTAATGACATCTCTACTTTTTCTCTATAGATCATAAACTAGATTCGTATACCTATATTGTATTTGTCTGCTTTATATAGTCAATTAAGGTATGGTTTATGAGATGGTCTCTACAGATGTGTCTAAACACGGACCATCTACGGGGTATGTGCTGACCCTCAGGCAGCGCAGGATTCTATGGCGCTCGCCTAGAATCTAACCGTTTCAATCAAAGGCTTTATTGGACTAAAATACTGGATTTAAGTTCGTTTGATCCTTGTGATCTACCCGTCCGTCTACTCTGGTGGTCTATCATCGATCTCTATTGTGATCTCTATCTCGTCTACATATAGAACTGTATCTGATCTGTATTATCTATGCATTCTATTAGTGAGTCGCCGCATTGTGTTATGCAGCTGTCGGATTCTGGGCTCAGTTCTAGTGAACGCTTTACACCTGTGCAATCTACTTCGCACATCGAACCACCCTCCAGAAATTCTGAAATTTCTGGTACCTGTTTACGCCCATTGTCCGCACAGCGCTTTTACTGGGCGCGCGCTTTTTGCAATCAACACGCCAATTCAAAGGTTCGTGCAACCTTTACAACAGCAGTTGGTTCTTTCAACAATGCTACGTCGTGCCTTTGTGAGGTTTCGTGGGTCGGTGTTCCAGATGCCGTCTACACCAGTGTATCCACTTACTACTACTAAGAAGGTAGCCCCGCCCACTGCCCTTGCTAAGAGGACCCCTGAACAACCATTCGGCTGGGGATCACCTGTTAGGGAGGACAGAGCATGGAGAGTTGGTAAGGCTTCATCACAGTGACCTGGCGCTACTGTATTGGTCCTTTTCTCAGTCCCGAGGAACTTCATTATTCTCGTGATCGTCTACTTGTCGGGTTGGGCGGCTATCAAGACCATGCTACCTAGAGGTGGCAGTATCTTGGGGCAAATCTACGGTGGTCCTCCTAAGGGTCGGCTTATCTAAGATGCTCACAAGCTGCATATCACTCGCACACGGCACTCCGAGGGGTGTCTTATTATTGTTATGATGATGATAGTCGGCCCATGAGGAATATTTGAGAGCATTTTTATATCGCGTTAAATGGGCGTTGCGTACAGTGTAGTGGTGGGAACTACAACCGCACCTAGGAGGTTGCTTGACAATGCCATGGTCTACCAATGAGTGGATTTCCCGTCTACTATCTCGTAATGAAATTATGGTAGACGTTGTTCGAGGCGGCAGTGCTAAGGTACGCTCGCACACGGCGTTGGAATATATGTTCGCTTTCTTCAACTGAACTCGGGAGTTTCCTCATTTATTATAGGAGTTTATACGTGGGTATATTCGGGACCCGAATTTCGAGTGGAAGTGTATAGAAACAAATGCGAATTTGTCGAAATTACCTCAAAAATTTCATATCGCCGACCACACATGTAGTTGACCATGTGCGTATTTTCCCACACTGACCGAGAGTCACACCCCCGAGCTCACAATTACACTCATCAGGTATACCGGAAAGCCTTTCCGACTTCGGAATGTACTTGGGATGACTACTGTCAAATGCTTTCCAGACTGTCACTATTTGGTACTCCTCAAGTCTCATGAAAATGACATCATTTTCGAGATCAGATGCTGACAGTGTATTTTTCTATAGAGACGGGTCGCCTTATTTCAGTAGGAAAAAGAGCCCATATTTTGCGTATCTAGATGGTGAGCATTTGAAGCATCAGAAACTCACGAGAGAAGTTCTTCTTGTTGTTGTCAGGTGCCTCGGTGGTCTGTAATAAATGTGAGCGCGCATGGCCTTGGGTTGATTCGATTTGCAACGAGCTCCGCAAGTATCAAAGTCTTATTACGATTCCGGCCATGAGTAATGGTACAGGTTCTTCCTCCACGTGTATGGGGTGGCGTATTTGACGCCTCCTAGGCGGTTTGCGGTGCGGCCTCACTCTGATTGCGAGGTTTGTCGGGAAGGCTATTGTTGACGGCTTTGTTTTTTCCGATTCGATGACGAACGGAAAACGCACATGCATGCTGTACAGATCAATAGTCTACAAGCAATCTATATTCTAGTATACTTGAATCTAGCGTGTTAGAGGTATGAGTATTATTTTGATGATAGTGTGTATCGTGAGAAGTGAAGGCCATTTGTATCAACCAGTGTGGGAATATATGTTTAGTTCCCTCAACTGAGCTCATAAATTTCCTAACTATATTATGAAAAATTCACACGATTCTGGATGGAAGTGTACAAAAATCAACGATAATTTCTCAAAATTTCCTCAAGATTTTCATATTCCTAGCAACACATGTAGCTGACCATGTGCACATATTCCCACACTGGTATCAACAGTTGAAGCCAGACGTTCCTTCATGTAGGATGCTCTAATACTACAATGTAAGGGCCGAAAGCATTGGGATGTATACGACAGTTCCTCGAGTCACCCCTACCCTGGCGAGGAGGTACTTATAGGAGTTGCTTGTCAAGGGTTATATCAGCGTGCTGGTTGTGGACAGGTTGGAAAGGACATGCCTATAGACAACTTGGGTGAGCCGCTGTACAGTGTGACGCTGGAAGAGGGCGACTTGTTGCTCATACCGCGAGGGGTCATACATCGGGCTAGGGCTTCACAGGAGCAGGGCAGTTTACATATAACAGTTAAGGTACTAAAACGACGCTTTATTGCTGTAGTTGATGGTTTGGATTTCATTCTTAGATACCCTCCAGTGACTTGTCGTATGGCATGATGATTCAGCGTGGCGTCGGCTCGGTGGGTGTCGGGTCTGGGTAGTGGTTGTTAAAGAGATGTGATGCAGTTACTACGAGATTCGGAATCTCTACCGCTCAATGTGGACTACTTCTGTCGGAGATCAGT